ATTGCGCAAGGCGGTTACAGATGTAAAAAAAAAAATGCCTTAAAAGGAAAACATGTCTCCTTGTATGGGAAAATATTCATTCGTCTACAAGGCCTTGCACATGGGCAAATTGTTCGACACGTTTTCTAAAGGAATGAATGGAAAATAAATCATACGGCAGAGCAGCGACAAGCATGCCTTAGAAGGCAAAAAAAAAAAAAAAAAAAAAAAGGAACATGACCAATAAGAATGACGAAATGTACGTTCCACATAGGGGATTTGCTTAAAAAAATTGGAAATGTTCACAAAAGAACAGAACAATGGAAAGACGTGTTTTCATTACGGAATTTTTTTTTTTTTTACACCTTGTGCGATGGTGTTACCTCACGTTTTAAAGACTTCGTGTGTCACGAGATGCTGTTGGAAAAATACATGTGTCTCGTTCATGTAAGAGAGACATCCCGTTTATTCAACATACACATGTCATATAAACGCTATGCTATGCATAAAATTTACCCATTTTGCAAACTTATCATGCACCAGTCAAATTTGCATTAGACATACACTTTGAGAGAGGAGAGTGCCCTCTCGTTTTAATTAGGAATAATTCTACATTCCACATGAGTCTTGCTTGTATGAAAAAAGAAAAGATGTTAAGATAAAAAAAAAAATGTGCGACATGTGTGTACTTATGGTCATGTCAATTTTTGTGGGAACGCAGTTCAGGTGTTTGTCCTTTATATGTGTAAAAGTGGTCTACCATTTTTTTTATTACACCATGTTGAAAAGTTTTTTTTTATCAACTTTGCTTCTTTAAGCATTAAGAGGTAATTTTTATTTCCCACGAAAGGGTTAAAAAAGGAAAAAAAAAAAAGATGAAAGTAGTTGTGTGTGTTTTTTTTGTTCAATTCTTTCCTTGCACAAGTTTGTGCTACTTATATTTTTCCCGCCCCTTTGTGTAATTTGATGTTCCTTTTTAGCTTTTTTTATGCCACATTTTTCTCAGAATACATACCGTTTATGAATAGAAAACCTGTTAAATTAGCCCCCTTGGTGTTTAAGAACAAGTTTGCGTTTCAAATTTTTGCCAATAGCTTGTTTATAGGGCTTATGCAAAAAGGGACTGGGCCACACGAGCGACTGGCGAATGCATGTATTATACATATGTGCTTATAAGTATTCATACATTTAAATGTATTCCCCGCGTGTAAAATGGCAAAGTAAAAATAAAACATATTCTTGCGTTTCCAAAAATGTAAGAAAAAGTCGTTACTTCTGTTTTCTCCTTAAGCGTAGCAGTTCTTGTTCTCCCCTTTCTAACATATGCGGAGGTGTGTTTTGCGTTACGTCGCTAAGGCATGCCTGAGATACACGCGCAGCGAAGGGGAAGAAAAGGGGAAGCATGCTCTTTTTTTCTTATGCGCACTTAGGAAATATTAAAAAAAAAAAAACAAGGGAATCAAATATTAACTGAAAAATAATGCGAACGGGGGAAAAATTTTATTCTTAACTTTTCATGAGTGTACACCCGTTTTTTTTTTTTTTTTACCACTTGGTTCAAACTGCAGAAAATAAGAACACCTATTTTTGCTTTGCATTATACACCGCATTTTTCCGTCCGCCAAGGCCTTTTTGCCGCCACGTACATCTGAGGTAACTGTTTTGGGAAAACGAAAAGAAAAAAAAACGACAAACAGCAAAGCAGCGTATGCTTTGGCGCAGCCTGTGTGCCTACTATGCATTCATGTTTGAACACATTATGAAACCGGGTTTGTGCCTCCCTTGACGAACTGCTCGTGTAGGTGTTACACGCACGCCGCAACACCACATGCGTAGGCGCACCGTACCATATGCCTAGGCATACCGAATGAACACAATTTTTCCAGCAACGTGGGAAGGTTGAGGGGCCAAGCCTATAAAAGCATAGCAAAATAAGAGCAACAAAATAATAGCAGCAGTAGCAGAGAAGAAGAAGAAGCAGACGCAGATACAAAACACACCTCATTCAAACATACAAGATATAAATCTGCGTTCCCAAAATGAACAGAAAAAAATGAGGAAGCCTGTAGATAACCGTAAACACATTTTTAAGCGGGAAAGTGATAGCTCAAAGATAACCAAGTTGATGCGAAACATATCGCCCCTTTTTTTTATGAGTGAATTTTTATACATTTTGTTTTTACGTTACAATGATTATATACTGAGTACCCGATATAAAACAGAAATACGTGAACACGTGAGGAAAAACATATACAACATTTTAATACTTGTATACTTTTTAAAACCATTTTTTTCTTTTTTAACGGATAATGTGTACTTTAACATAAATAATGTAGTCTCCTTTTTGACGCGAAAGTTATACGAGTTGGGGAATTTTTTGCAGAATTTTTTTTATTACTGTACCAGAACAGTGTGTAACGGGAAACATATTTTTTTTAAGATATTTTTGAGCCACAACAAATATATGAATGATGAAGTTTCATCGGGGTCCCTTTTTTTAAGAAAAGCAGGTCTGAGTAAATATTCCTATATAGACAATTTTGTGCATTTGCCATTGAACAGAAAGTATTATATCGTTTTAAGCGAATTTATCACGACGTTTTTGCTGCTATTTATACATTTTTTTAATAACAAGATTAACTGCTTTTCCTATCTGGCTGTTGTCTTTTTGATTGCGAGTCAAATGCTATTATCGTCTTGCGTTTTTGAAGGAATCGTAGTCGAGCGATGCAGAAGACAAATACATGTTGAGAAAATCTTCTACATATCTTACGTCATGTGTATAAAGATTTTCTGTTCTCTTATCCTGTACTATTTGTACATTTTAAAAATAAGTATTTATTTATTAATTTTGAAAAGTTTCTCTATCTTCGTCATTTCGTGTCTCTGTAGCGAAGAAACGCTTTTGCTAAATTCGAACTTGAAGATACAACGGAACATAATACAGAAGAGTGAGAATGGAGGTGTTCATGTGAAAAACACAGTGGACTTATTTTCACAATTTGCACTTTTGAAGAAATTGCTCTTTAAGGAAAATTTGTTCAAAATACTTTTTCTTTTAATTTTGTTCAATTCGTCCATTGACACGAAATTTTCCATGTTGCAATATGGTGTGCAGAATTACAAATGGCCGCATTCCCTGATTAACTACATCCCCCTGGTGTCACAGTAAGGAGAAACCAGCGCATAAAAAAAAAAAATGGGCATATTATGTGTTTCCCACATATATTTGTCCGCTCTCACACTTCACATTATGTAGCGTAACGCATATTTTTTTTTTTTTTTTTGTCCACTTTTTTCCACCCCCTCCCCCTTTTTGTAGGTCCTCCAAGCTGATAGGCATCTCCATCTTCCAACTGTACACAAACAAAAAAAGTTACAAAAGTTACGCCATGATAACGATATTGTCCAACGTAGTGCTGAAAATAGCTAGCTTTATTTTTTTGTACTATAACAAGAGCACCTACGTGAGCCCCTTTCTCTTCCTACTTAACATAATCGTTCAGAATGTGTCCATTAAAATTTTAGCCCTGCCCATATTGCTCCTGTGTATAGAAAAGGCGCCATTAAATTTGGAGTCCACCATACTCAATATTTACATTTTTTGTTTTAACTTGTCTAACTTAATTAGCAAAAGATACTTCATGTGGAATCTCATTTTGCACATGTCCAAGAATGTTTTTATAATTATGCTCCTCTCCTTCTTAACCACGTGTAGCAGTTTACTCTACTACTTTAACCTATCCTTAGATTCGTTAAACAGCGTAAATACATCAATGTCGTGTTTAAACGAAAAGGAAAATATTCATTTGAAATTGAGTAAATATGACAAGAAGAATTATGCACCCCCCTCCTCGGATGATCTGTTTGATACAACAAACGAGAAAAAAAATTCTTCCAAAAAGTGTGTTCGCTTTAGAGAACAAAATATAAAAACGGAAAAATGCAAAAAGGAACCCAACAAGAGTAAATCAAATTTGTTTAAAATATCCCCAGATTATAGCTCCGATAGTGATGACAATCAGTGGCTCATAATTGACAATTTGAAGGTAGGCAAAAAATTTTTTCTTGCTAACATGGAAAAGGCAATTTTTTTAAACTTAAAATAAAATTTTATGTATATGCTGAGCATGTGTGCGTTAAATTGGGGACGCTTGATGGTCCCCCCTTTGTGTATTATAAGGGATATATAATTACACGGACGCACTTTCTACACCTTTTTTTTTGCCCGTGCGAAGGGGGCCACTCGGCCGCTTCACCAACGCACATTACGCGTAAAACACATATAATGCTTGTGTTAGGAGTGTACATGTGCACGGATGAAAATGCAGTACCAGCATTATTTTATCCTGCCGTACTTTTGTTTCCTTCCATTTAAGAGCATTCTTAACTTTGTTGATTTTTTTTTTTTTTTTTTCACCAGGGGAACGGAAGAAAGACGAACGGACAACAGAGCTCCTGGAACATTTCAAATATGATGTTGTAAAAAGGAGATAGCAAATAAAAAAAGAGAAAGAGAAGGCCGCTTTTTGCATACAAAAAAAAATGTAGTAATTTACATTTGAAATATGTCAGAACAGCGGAGGACGCGGACGCGTACTCCGAGCATGAACAAATATTTTGTTCATGTACGCAAAAAAAAAAAAAAAAAAAAAAAAAAAAAAAAAAAACGCTGCCGTTATGGATTTGTTGGCGACCACGTTTTGAAACCAAAATATTATCGCCTCGCTTTTTTTTTTTTTTTCTTCTTTCTATTCCCTTTTTTTCTTTTCTTTTTTTTTTCAAATGTGGATTTATTCTATATTGTATTACTCCCACGTTCCCTCATTTTTTTTGTTTCAAAGTTGTGACCTCATGTTTTTTCCCCAATTTTTTTTTAATAACAACCCCTAAACGAAAATTAAATAATTGTATAATAATTTTAGCATATATATATAAAAGGGTTGAAAAGAGCATATTTATATATATGTTCTTCTCTCATATGCATGTATGCCTGTTGGTCCGTCCGTCCGCGTCACAAAATGTACGAGATTTACTACCTAAATGAACAGGATGAATTTGAAAAGTCGAAAGAAAATGACGAAATCCACAGTTGCCTGGTTTTGAAAAACCGTTGTGTTAATGTGGAGAAAAAAAAAAAGCTGATTGAGGAAAATACTTACGAGGGGGGATACACCATCTGGGAGTGCACATGGGAAATGCTGAAATTTCTCTACAGAAAGGGCATCGACTTTAGGAGTAAAAATGTCCTAGAGCTAGGTAGGAGAGGCGCATGCATGGCTAACGTGGCAATCGCCGCGGCTGAGTGCTTGTGCTGAGACGCACATGGCCACCTGCGTGATATCCGGTTGGCGGTGCCTCCCACACTGTTTTACGAGAGTAGACCGCTTACACCCGGTTAACGCTTTTACACTGCCCTTATCTCTCCTTCTAAAGGTTGTGGACACGGTCTGGTCGGTATAAAGGTCCTCATGGATGAAGGAAACGTCGTCTTCCAGGAACTCAACAAAGAAGTGATCAACGACGTGCTGCTACCCAACATAAGAAAAAACTTGAACATAAAAATGAAAAAAAAAAAACTAAAGGATAAAAAAAAATGCATGAAAATACATGGCCAAATCTTCAAGTGCACCATTATCAATAAACCCTGGAATAAGCTGAATAAAAAAATTAAGAAGAAAAAATTAAACCCATTTGATTTTATCCTAGGAAACGAAATATTATACAGAAAGAAGAATTATTATCACATTTTAAAAATTCTCAAGCAGAACATGTCGTATAATGGAAGGGCGTACTTCGGCACCAAGTCCTATTACTTCGGCTTTGAAGACGAGGGGGTTGGCACGAATAGCTTCGTGGACTATGTGAATAACAATGAGCACTTCAACTTTCGCGCTCGGGTTGTTCATACCAATTCAGACAAGTCGGTCTATTCCAAGGACATCATAGAGGTGACCTTCTCCAACATGGACCACTCGCCGTGCAAGGTGCAAGAGATACATGTGGACGTCTCGTGACGGGGTCGAAAGACCGGGCTTTCCTGAGATCATATTGCGTTGACGTGATATTGTGTCGACGTGATATTGGGTTGAGGTCATATTGCGCTTCACCCATTACATGAGCCTTTTGCTCATTAGATAAACCTTTTTTTCACATGCACCTTTTTTCATATGAAGCTTTTTTCATATGAACCTTGTTTTCACGTGCACCTTTTTTCACATCAACTTCCTTCACACCTCTGGCGCCCCGCGCGGGGACAGCCCAACATACGTATAACTTTTTAAAAACATTAAAAAAAAGGCAACCCTGTTGTTCAAAATGTTTAAATGGTTACTAGTACAATGTGGGTAGCACTGCATGGGTACATATAGACCTACGCAGCATAATAAATGGAAAAAGGCAAAAATGGAGTACACCCCGAGCCGGCGTATGTCTTTCTGCATCCGCATACCATAGCAGGAGCGAATGGGGAGAGTGGAAAAAAAAAAAAAATAATAATAATAATAAAATTAAATTAAGAGAAAATTTAAAAATACTTCACAAATATATTTTAAATATTAACAATAATGAGATAATGTGAAAAACATGTTAGGCGTGTATTCTACTACAGGAGCGCAAAGGAGTTCATCCTGTTGGCGCTACTCTGCAAGGGCACATAGTTGTGTGTACGTCATTAGTGCACTGCAACTGGGCACGCGAGCTAACAATGCTCTGTTGCTGTGCAACATTAGACTCTTATGATGCACGGAATATTATCGCCTTTAAAGGATTTTGAAAAATGAATACAAATGTTACACACAATCATATGGTGCATACGTGCGAGCGAACGGGCGGACGGACGGACGAATGGACGCTCTTGTGTGGATAAATTTTCATTAAAATCATATGAAGTGTGCAGGTGTAAAAAAGCATGTGCGCATGCAAACGTGAAAGCGTAGCGGCATACACGTAGCGACAACTGCACACACCCACCTGTGCGCACGTTGCCGACGTTGCACACGTGATGGAAAAAAAAAAAAAAAAAAAAGGGGAGAAAGAGAATCCTCCAATGGTAAAAAGTAACAAAGAGGGTGACACATGTGCACATGGAGGGGAGAGGGGGGGGGAAAAAAAAAGGGGCACACGAATGAGATGCACGCAAGGGTGAACGAGCATGAGAAAAAACGTACGCACGCACAATACATGGGCGGGGGAAAAAGTGCCTACCAAATGAAAAGGAAGCTTTAATTTTGTTACATAAATAAAACGCATGCATGTATTTATATAAAGCACACGCATGTGTACAGATAATACGCCTACAACAAATGAGCTCATTTAAAAAGGTTAACACGAGCGTGGAGAGTGATGACGACGTGTGTGTCTCTTCACTTATGGGCATTAAAAAAAAAAAAAAAGAAAAGTAGAGATCCCGTCCTTAATCACATAATTATTTGGTCTGAAAAAAGTGAATGAAAACAATACGGTTAAAAGTCATACAAAGGTATACACGATTTTATCTCTGTTGTGCGTTGTTTATTTGAATAAGCCTTTTCCGTTTTGACATACACCACGGTAATATTTTTTGTTATGCAAACGGGGGGGGGGGAAATGGGGTAGGGTTGCTTCTTCTTTGTTTCTCTCCTCTCTCTGTACATACAAGTGGAACACATGTTCTTAAATTTTTTTTTTTTTTTTAAATAGGGCGTTTATATATCAGGCATGGACAGTTCATATTGCGGGCAAGACGCTGCTAGGAACCCTTTCCCGCGCTGCTGGTCTTGAAGGCTGTATTCGTACTCCCGTTTCTGTCTTCGTAGTACGTCGGCGCGCGCTTACTTGCGACATCCTGCGCGCTCGAAACGACTTTGCTGCTGCAGCTGGTGCTACTACTGCTGCTGTTCTTGTTGGCACTGCTACCTCTGCTACCGCTGCTCTCATTGTCCGGGTTGGCATTACCCGTGTTGTTGCAGCAAGTCTTCTCACCATTAGCTTCCGCATGCGCATCCACATGCGCGTCCACATTCGCATCCCCATCGTTCCTCGCTTCAAAGTTGAACATGGGCTCGGTGCAATTATTCACAACCGGATAATCATTAAAAACGTACATGTCGCTCAGGTATCGATCTAACAGTTCCTCGCTTTTCTCTGAGAGCCGTTCTTCCTGGTCCAGCTGTTTGTCACCGCTGCCACTACCTTCTCCATTGCCACCCTTGTTATTTTCATTCGCGCCATATGCGTCGATGCGGTCATAAAAGCTAGAACTGAAGTGCCCGGCGTTGAGGAAATCGGGGGGATCATAATGCACCATCTGATCATAGTCTTCCTGCGCCTCTTCCTTATGCAACTGATTTGGGAGCTGCCCCTCAATCTCCTGCTCACACTGCGTCTCGTTTTTCTTGTTCTTCGAGGGGAGTTCCATGAAGGAGTATTCCAAAAGCTTCTTGTCGGACTGATCTTCAATTTTTGGGTTCAGCATTTCATACAGTTTCATGTTTTCCTTGCTAATACAGTCGTTCGTGTTTGCCGAGCTTTTATTTGTGTATGTGTTTAGGAAGGAGAAGAAGAGCTGCATGTTTTTGCAGTAGTTGGACGTGTCGTTGCCGCTGTCACCACTACCACCTAGCTCGTCGCGCAAATCGTCGTGATTAAAAGTAAGGTAAAAGTTCTCGCCACTTTGGCTTGCTCCATTCACTTGTTCGCATTCCTTTTCTCCATACTGCCAATCGTTTCCATTCGCATACAGATGGGAGCTTTTGTTCATTTGAACATCCCCCTTCTTCTTCTCGTCGTGCTCGTCCACTTGCGCGTTACACATGACTTCGTTTCGCACGCCCCTTTTGTCGTTGTTCTCAACAGCATGGTTGTTTGCATCACTGCAGGAGTAACTAGTATACTCGTCCGACCCTCCTGTGTTCGACTTGTTATACCAGTCCTTATAAGAGCTACTACAATAAGCATCACCGCAAGCAACACTTGAGCCACTGTGGCCATTGTCGTACCATATGTGATTTAGAAGGGATGTTATGTTTCCGTTTTCGCCGCCCAGTTGCGTTTTGCTCTTGGCGCTTCTAAATGAGTCTCCGCCGAGGGGCGCAAGGCTGTTCCACTTCCCATCCCACTTCCCATCCCAGTGGCCGCCCCACTTTCCGCTGCCACCCCCATCTACGCTACACTCTCCCGTTGTGTCATTCGCAAAGAACTGACTGTACATGTTCACGCTCGTGCTTCCCTCCACAGTGGGATTGCAAAACATGTTTTTTCTCTGATGCACATAAATCTTATCCTTCAGATGATTCAATTTGTCCACCTGCACATTGTCCCCATTTGTGTCTTCCCCAAACAGGTCACAATTGTACGAAGCGGTCGGATTCGCATTCATTAGACACTTCTGTCCTATTTTGTTCGGGTGATAATACATTTTATTGTTTATTCCTCTGGCCCTTGGTTCAGGCGGTATATGAAACGTTCGTCTCAGTGCACAAGAATAAAGCTCTCCTGTGTCCATCCCCTTATCGTTCGTATCAACAAGACATTCATTAAGGACATGGTCAAAACGATCATTTACATAATCATACGTTGAAGTTTCAATCTTTTGATTCATCTTCAATGCTGCACCTTCCAAGTTATGAGGGTACTTACTCATTCCTGTGTACTCCATGATGGGGGTTCCATTCTCGGGCTCGCTTCTATTCTCATCGCTAATCAAACACCCGTTGATACTTCCAAGTGTACCCCCCCTAAAAGAGGTCCCCCCTTCCCCACTGTCACCCTTTTCAGTATAATACAAACGGGTGTTGCTACTTACACCAGTACCTCGGAACACATCTCCCACTTCGCTCGTCTTATGTAAAGCGCTTAGAGGTTCCACTGGGTAGGTAGGACAAACTGCGTTGTTGCTTAGGGTGCTGTAATTGTTAAAGCTGTGCATGTAATTATTCAATCTCTTGCTACTTGTGTTATATTTATTATAATAATTGTCAGAAAAATATTTGACGAATTTTCCATGTGAGCTGCTCAATGGCATGGTGTTGCTACTTGCGTCATTTGGTAGGTACTCCAGTGGAGGACAGTTGGGGTCCAGTGTAGACATATGTTGTATGTGGTTGTCCGCGCCGTTACAAACCAGTTCGGTTATCATGGTGTTGCTCGTCATGAAGTTGGCGCCCTGACTGCTGCCGCTGCAGTTGGCACTGCCTCCATTTGCGCTGCTGCTACTGCTAGGGAAGTTACTTCTCGTTTTCTTCGGCGCATCTACATAATTGACGGAGTTGAGGGTTTTGAGCGTGTCGGCGGTGCTTACGAGGCTCTGCGCCGTCTTCGTGCTGTTCGGGTCCTTTACTTTGCTTTGGTTCGCCTGCACGTTCACGCTGACGCTGCTGCTCATGTTGACGTTCGCGTTAGGGTTAACGCTGGTGCTGTACATGCTCTTGAGCTTGGGCGGCAACAAATGCTCCTCGCCATTTTTGAGCTGCACCTTCAGCAGCTTCCCGTGAATGTACATTTTGGACAGCTCCTCAAACGCCTCAATGGCGGACTTCTTGTTGTCGTACGACACAAAACCAAAGCCCCTATTCCCCTGCTTCTTGTCATGCTCGTTGTTTATATATGGAATTCTGAGGCCCACGACGTGGCCGTACTTGTTAACCAATTGGATCAGGTTCAGTTCGGTCCACTTGAGGGGGATTCCATACAGGAACAGATTTGCGCCTGGAAAAGACAAAAAAAAAAAAAGGGGACAAAATGGTGACAAAGGGTTAAGGGGATTTTAACTTAACGCGGTGAGGGAAGCTATCAAAACAAAAGCAGACAAACGCTAGAGCAGCGTCCAGCAGAATAGCGCCCCGCAGAACAGCCCCATATGGAGGCCTACCCGGTGGGCCGTCCTTCAAGAGGGAAAAGTTGGCCTTGCTGTAGTGCAGCGTGTTCTGGTTCGGAATCTGCTTCGAAACGATAAAGCATATCAACTTGTGGTTGGGGCAATTGTCAAAAAACTTCTTCTGGTTCAAAATATTCACAGCATTTATTGCACACTTCTCGTCAACGAAGTACACAAATGCATAGGACCATTTATCAATGGACCATTTATACTCAATGTGAATTATGTACCCAAAAATTTCCAACACGTTTTTTATCCTCTCTTCTGTTATGTTAGGTGGAATGTTACCCAAGAACACATTTGTGATGACAATGTTTCGGAAGCTATAATTTGATTTGCTTCTTCTTATATCTTTAATAATTTGGTTGTGAATATTATTTTGTCTCATTCTTTCATGGTTCCCTTTATACTCTTTTGTGTAATTGGTTCCGTTGCCACTGAGGTCATGCGGTTTGTGGACCATATGTGCTCTTTGAAATACGTGCTGCTCCTTCTCTTCCACGGGTTCGTCCAGTTGTCCAAGTGCAGAATGATCTACTCGTTCTGCGAACTGTTCCGCGAACTGCTCTGCCAACTGTTCTGCGTTCCTCGGGTCCATCACACCCACCTTCTCCGCGTAACCCCCACTGTGGCATATATGATGGTGTGTAGCTACCTGTGAATCATGATGTGCGCAATGTAAACTGGTGTTATGTGGCTTTGGAAAAATGTCAGGCTCGCCTTTCATTGGGTTGTCTTCACAAGGTTCCACATCTAATAACAACGTCTCGACGTTGCCACAAAGCTTTTCATTTTCTCCATTAACAACGTGGTTGTAACTTTTGGGGGATGTGAAAGAGTCGAACCCGTTTTTTCCGCTCTTCAAATCGACGCCGCAGCTGTGGTTGTAGGTGTTGTCGTAAGTGTGACCGTACGTGTGGTCGTAGCTATGACCGCATCTGTCGCCGCTTATATCGCCGTAGTTGTAACCTGGCGCGAACTTAAACTTGTCCTCCCCCCTGCCGTGGTAAAAATGGGGGGCGCTAAAATTATGGCTAAGTCCCTTTTTCTCATCGGAACGGAATAAATGACTGTTACTTTCGGCATTATCCATCGAAATTACGGTTCGTGAATCCATGTCTCCCGGTGCTGATTTGTTTTTGGAACTATTACACGTAGCTAGCCAGAGTTTATCCAGATGCAGAGTTTTTTTTTTCTCGCTGCTCTTCTCCGCGTTTGTGCATACAAGATTGGAAATGTTATGAATTAAATTTCCCAAGTTTTTGCTCAAGTGCCTTTTTTTTTTAGCTCGATTTTCATTCTTAATCTTCGTGGTTGTTCATAAGGGAGGTCCATTTACCATTTGCTAGACGGGAGCCTCGGGGGGGAGTGCGCAACAATGTTTTCACACTCTCACAGGGCACGAAAGGTTCAACGGTATGAGAGATGCTGTGTCACGTTATGTAATTACTAGAAGTGGGGATAACCCAGCGCGAGGTAGTAAAAAAAAGAAAGAAAAAGGTTCCTCAACTTGGTGCAAATACGTTATGGAGATGTGCATCTACTGGATGAATCTTAATATACGGGATGCATATACGAAGTGCATTCCCGCTGTTTTGCTAAGTCGTCTTGGAAACCTTCATGGAAGATGGGTTCCACTGGGTGGCGTACATACGACTGACTTTTAAACGCGGCGAGCAAATTAATTCTCATCCAACTCTCTGCAGCTGTGCTTCAGTGGACACAAATTTTAGGGCAGGGGAAGAAGAAACGTGGACCCATTACGCAAATATATCACTACAATGGTGCGGTATGAACGTAATGAAATTGTTCCTTGTTGAGATCGCCCCTTTTTTGGTTCACGGTTGTTTTTCACCAAATAGGGGGTTGTGCGTGTTGCAACTACTTGGTCAATGCACAAGTACGCACGCACGCACGTATACGTATGTACACATGCATAAATGTAATACAACTTGTTATGCTACAAAAAAGCGCACGAATGCTTCGTTTTGTATACACCTTCACGTTTTTAAGTCTCATGAAAGGGATATTACTTAGCTACTACACAATACCCATTGGTATAAAAACGTTCCTTCTAATAAGGTGCAGAGACGGAGGATGAGTAAAAGGAGGGGAAAAAAAAAACATATAGACAGTTATGCATATGCGCAACGAATAAAACATATCGTATGGGTTAGATACACCCCCTCCATCCCACACACTACACATACACACAAACGTGCATGCATAATCGTACATACGAAAAGTTACACACTACACGTCCTCGTACAAACATATTATGTGATGGTGATTGGTGAGACGGGGTGAAAAATATTCACAAATTGTGCGTTAACAGCAGTGTAGGTAGGGAAAAGGGAGGGACGAAGGAAAAAAAAAAAAAAAAAAAAAATCAATAAACATGATGAATGCTTATTTGTCGTGTTCAGCCACGCGTGCCTCATACGACTGCCTGTGCTCGGCTGGTCACTCACTGGAGGGTTGTCCGCATAGCATTTTGACATGCAACGCTTGGGTGGCGCGGGCACGAGACGGGAGGGTTATGCAAAAAAAGGGTAGGCAAAAAGGGTTATACAAAAAGGGCTATGAAAAAAAGGCTATACAAAAAGGGATATGCAAAAAAGGCTAGGCAAACAAGGGCTAGGCAAAAAACCCACTTGCACAGGAGTTATATCCAAAAATAAGCTCACCTTTTACACTTCCAAGAAACAAAATGGGTGACAAAAAAGGGGGGGGGGAGGGAAAGGGGCAACGAAATAAATGCGTATCGTTTAGGCATACACACATCTGACGTATTTATAATGCACCCTCTCAAGGTGAACAAAAGGGGATGGTTGCAAAAAAGTGTGGATGTGAAAAATGGGAATAGCTATCAATGAAATCACACAAATGCTAACACGTGTTTTAGTCAACGGGGAGACCAAGAGGTGTGTATGCACTGGTGTGTGGGAATTAAACAAATGGGTGCGCTTACTGAAGCGGAGCAACAAATGTGAAGAGGTGGAAAGGGGAGATGGCGAGGGCCAACATTATATATTTGCATGTATTATCATGCTTCAACCTTTGTTAACCTTTGTTAACATGTGGTAGCACGGATGGCGTTTGGTAGCGCAGTCGACGTGGGTTCACTTATGCTAACATGTATTATCATGTACACCCACAGGGGGGTCGGCACACGCATACACGTATCAAGATATACCTCCGTGTGCTCAGGTATTCGCACAGGTAGCTACATATCTACGCGTGCTCCTGTACACTGGTATGCAGCTAAATGAATACGTAGAAGGGGGGAAAAAAAAAGGGGGGGGGGCAACAATATCATCCCTTCGCTTATACACATGCATATGTAGGTATATACATGTATATGAACTCCTTTCTCCTCTCGAGTGTTAACTTTCGTGTTTTGGAAGTGAAATGGGAAAGTGTAAAAATGAGCAAAAAAAAAAAAAGGAGAAGAAATGTGGGGAAGGGAAGGGTGCAAAAAAATAGCGCAAAAAAAAAAAATAAAGGAATAGGGGGAAAAAAAAGGGCTCGTATTTGTACACTTAATAAATGCAACAGAATAAGAATACATATAGCGAAGTAAACTAAACAAAGGAAAAATTTCAAATAGGAAAGAACAAATAAAATGAGTGTGCTAAGGTTTATTACAGAAACAGCTTTCCGATTTTATATGTCGCGCTTGTGTAAAGTCGATTCAGTCGTTTGTATAATGCAGGTGCGTACGCACATGTATGCATATTGTATACGTGCCTATATATAAATATGAGTATAGGGGTACGTGTTTGTGCGGTAACGAAATGAATACGCTCATGTATACACTTAGGGAGTAAATATTCGCTTGTATATTTTCCTTTTTGCACTGAATAGTGCGGGATGCGAAAAAAAATGGGGGGAAAAAAAAAAAGGAAAGAAGCAGCAAAGAAATATAAAAAAACAGGCAAAAGTTGTGCATTTACAAATATGCAAACGCTAATGAACCATCAAGTATCAGGCACACAACAACCTGATTCCACGTTTAAGCAAGCCATTCTCCCGCACTGTGCGGTGGGAGCAAGAAGTGTTCGTGCTGCTTGGGGGCAACCTGCTGCAATGGTCGTTTTGGAAAAGGCGCACTGGCGTGTACATATATATAATTATACGTAAATTTATATATTGTAATATATACGCGCGCACATACGCACGACGAAATGTACTTGTAAATAATACACTCATTCAAAAACACAGGAGGAGATTTAAAAAGGCAAAATGAATGTATACACTCAAAGGAGAACTTATTTGTAGAGAGAAATAAATTCGTCATTACGTATACCTTTTATGTACATTTGTAGAAGAAAAAATAAAAGTTATCTTTTGCGAAAAGAATATGAGTTTATACTGGTGGTTTGACATTACGTTCTGGCGAGCTTTTTTTTTTTTTTTTTTTTTTTTTTTTTTTCTGGTCATATTTTTTTTAGTTATTTTTTATTTTAATTATTTTTGCGTTTCGCTTTACATTTTCTTGCTTAGATCAAAATGCAGATAAAACAAGAGGATGGTTGTTTCAAGCGTGCCCACGTGGGTGCAAGGAAACAGGAAAGAATAATTCGCATATTCAACATGGTTAAGACACACTTTATGCTTGGGTGCAGCGGTTCATTTGGCGCGTGCGCATACGTATGCACGTATACATACATAATGGTATGCATGTATGTGCTGTATGGTACACTATGTATGTTTTTTTTTTTTTTTTTTTTTTTGCAAAGCGGCAATGTACACTTTTGTCAACATCGGTTTGCCAACACGGCATGGTGAAATATGTGGTTGAAGAAAAAGTGCTCACAAAAAAAAAAAAAAAATGCATTATTGAACGGTGCTTCCGTATCACAGGTTGCCAATTCAGGTGCCTCTTGCAAAAGCATGCACTTAAAACCGAATTGTATAACAAGCTTTTGCTGCTGTAATGACCGCCACCTACGAAATATCCATTTTTTTTTTGTTTTTTCTTTTTGCGAATTCGTTCTATAAGGCCATAATGACGTTTTTCCACCACCTCTGGGTAATGGTTGAAAGTCGGACCAGAGGTTAATGGAGCAGCTATCACGTACATGTTCACAAGTGCAATTGCAAAATAAAGGCAAGTCGGTTTTGCAGCTCTCCGAAAAATTCTGCATGTTGTGTGGTTGTGTATTCTATCGCGCATGACCACACATGATAAAACGTCTTCTGCCGTTTAGCGGTGCGGGGGGGTTGCTGAGAACTTTTTGTACGTTCTATTTTTATGCACATTGGGCGAAAAAAAAAAAAAAAAAACGCTTAAATGCAGACGTATTGCCACTCCCAGGGGCAGAATAACGCGATTGTTTAATTTAATCGGTTATGAATATTCGGCAAAAGTGCTCAATCCATTTTGCAACAACGGTTTAAATTTGTCGGAGAGGGGTGGGTGCAGCAGGGGGATTAAAATTTGCTTCCCCCAAAAATTGTAGCTGGCCACGTTTTTATTTTCTTAAAAAGAAAAAGAAAAAATACTCATCGACCATAAAGGCACAATGTGGTCAACATGACGAGCACTCCGCATACCACTTGTGTGTAGGCGTCCTTTCTCGCTTCGTTTTTAACCACTTGCCGGTGTACATTATACACGTGTGTATGCAAGTCAACAAATCGGATGCATTGTTATTTGCACACTTTTGCTTATACCGTGAAGGAGGTGCAAAGGCCTCACAGGAGTGTACCGCAAGGGGTGCGTAACAGGCATTCTGCGTGTACGTGTAGGAAAAAAAAAAAAAAAAAACAGCCATAATGCAGTCGCCTCTGGCTACGCGAGGATGTATATTTCTTTATACATTCCCTTGTTTGGAAAAAAAAAAAAAAAAATGCAAAATATAATTGCACACCTGTACAATGCAGCGTAGGCGACGTTATTGCATTTGTTTTTAAGGTACCCCTTTTTATTACTGTTTTTTTTATTAAGGCAAGAAAAAGCAACGGACAAACATGTATGGTGCCCCTTTACAGTTGCGAAATGGCGGGGATGAAGGGGCGATACAAGGCGCGAGTGTATTAAATTGCGCATACGTGTGTAATATGTAACAACTACGTAAAATGTTGAAAACATAACAGTTAAAGGAGCGCTCTCCGCTTCAGTATAACAACACTGCTACTGTTTTGCGAATCTTTGCGCAAAATTGCCCAAACATTTTTCTGAAATTTAGCCGTCTACATTTTTTGGCCTAAAAGATACATTTGAACTGAACTCTGTTATAGAGCGTAATATGTTTTGATATCGTGTTTGCACTGCGCGGCAAGAATGCTCGTAATTCTATTTTTCATTGACTCGTTACGTGTACATACATTAGTACACGTACGGTACATGCATGGGCACGTGTGCACACAGTTTATGTACGCCCGTTTGTCTTATCCCACGTGTAATTCACTAAGCCTACTGAAAAGGCAATGTCGTATTTAAAGGGCGCCTTTTTTGGGACGTGGTAAAATTTGCAGGAACGTTTGAGAAAAAGCAAAGCTAAAAAGCGTCTTACATGGTATTGATGCGAGCGCTTGCTAATTGGTTTTTTTTTTTTTTTTAGCAAAACGTTCTGCGCTTAAGTTGGTAACACTATGCATTGTACAACGGGGTTGCAGCTCCACCAAAGGGATAGCATTGCACTGCTGCCTAGTGGGAAGCATTTTGTCGCTTGATCACACACACAAATTTGACTTTGTAACGAAAAACATGGTTTGTTTTGCAGAGATGCCTATTATGCATCGTGGACATATAAAATTGGCATGAATGTTCATATTTTTTTTTTTTTTTGCCGCATTTTGGCGCCCCGCCTAAAAAAAGTGTAAAATAGCAGTCGGGAGGGGAACGCGACGGAATGGAAACCTACACCATGTTTGGTATGTTTCCCCGTTTTATTATTTTTTCTTTAAACGCCCCGCATGTATATTTTGCAGCAACTAGTAAAAAAAAAAAAAAATTTACATACAGTTGGCAATTTGGCTTGTTAACAATCGTTCAGATGAAATACACGCTTAAGATGGCATAACGTTGGAAGGAGGGGGAGGCAAAAAAAAAAAAACATTTCCCGCGATAAAAAAAGGGGCAAATGCAAAATGTATACATTTGTTTTTTCAGCTAAACCAGCATTATTCTTAATTTTAACCGGATTGATGAAGGTGTGGGGGGGAACCCGCCAAAAAAAAACAAAAAATGCCCTATCTATATATATAACGCCAAGTGTATATATATATACATACACTTAATGGGTTAACATATTGGGCGAACGAGCACACGAATGTGCGCATTGTGTATATGTTTGCAAAGAATATCTGTGCATATACTTGTGCATACACTAATGTAACGGAAAAAAAAAAGGGTGTTCTTGCGAAAATGCCATGTTCACCTTTTACATGTTTCCCTATATATGTAGTTATTACAAGTTTTTCTTCTTTTTTTTTTTTTTTTTACTTACCTTTTGATGAGTTAAAAACACACTGTACTGTAGGGAGAAGAAGGGGAAAAATATTTTTCACCGCACATGCAATTGAAAAATAAAAAAATAAACAAGTGAACCCCGAACATAAAGCCGCTATTATTCAACACTGCATGAAGTTTGTGCTCATACGCATAATATGGCATATGAGGGAAGGAAAAAATAATCACACTTTAGTGGGTGAAATGCAAAGGAAGAAGGGGAAAAAAAAAATATAACACATCTTAGTTAAGTACGTACATTTGTTATTTTATGAAACCAGAGTTATAACACAGGCACGTGTATGCTTAAAAAAAAAAAGCTGTTACAGGGTTTCGTCATCTCCTTGTGCAAACGTATATAAAAAGGAGAGAGAAACTGACGACTACTCGATCTTCACACGTGTTTTGCCTTCACACGTGAGGGATACTACGCACATATGTACAAATGTACATGTGAAAGTAGTTTTCCCAACGAAAGATACAATTGCATTCCTTACCGCTTCTCTTTGTCCCCCGTTGCAACTTAGCAAATGTGCATTTGAATTAGAAAAAAACAAAAAGGAATATGAACCGTTCAGGTAATTTCATAACTAAAAAGCTAATTATACATCGTATTGTGTGTTTTTTTTTCTTTCTTTCTCACCTTTTTTTTTTTTTTGCATTCTGTTTACACCATTACAGTTTTTCCCCTTTGTTAATGTTTTTTTTTTTTTTTTTCAAGACGTTTTTAAAAGATTGACCATTCATGGTTTTCTTGTGTTGTATGTATGCGGAAAATCCTGATGCAAGTGCATACGCGTGTGAAACTGTATTCACTGATGTGCACACATGTGAACGAAATTAATTCTCCGCACCCAGCGCGTGTGTGCATGGATTTATGTATTCCTTTGGGAATACGTGTGTGTACATTTGTGCTTACATTTGTGTGTACCCCTTTACGCACACATTTTGTCCTGCACCCTTTCGTTAATAATTAATTACGTAGGGAAAAGAACCCCTCCTCCCAAGTGGAACAAATTCATAAGGCAAATACCTTTTTTTTTTTTTTTTTTTGCGAAACGAGTGCCAGCTTTTTGCCGTGCACACAACGGGGAAAGGACAATCCGAAAGGCGCTCAACCGAAAAAAAAAAAAATTGTTAACACACTTATGTACGTACATGTGTACGTGATGTGTTGAGCGCGAAGGATTTTGCAAGTGCTTGTGAACTACCTCTTATGAGGGGAAGAAATAACGTCCTATTTGCACGTATTGTAAAACGTTGCAAACAGAACAAGCTGAACCACCATACATGAAGCATTTCCCGTATTACTGCACCGTGAGCATATTCAAACGTTTGCTATGTTTCCCGCCGCAAAAAAGGATGGAAGTCTCAAATGAAACGCAAAAATGTATTGGGGTGATGGAAGCGGGAAAGGGAAGTAATGCAGAACAGGGCTGCAAAGATTCATCGTGTGGAAAAGCAAACAGTGATAGTAAGGAGGTAGGAAGTAAGGCGAGAGAGGGGGATGGCAATAACACTGGAAATTGCAATAACAGCGAGACACTTAAGACAAGCGAAGGGACAGGCGGCAAAAACGAAAACGACATGAACAAAATCGATAAGGGGAAGAAAAGAAAAAATTCGAAGAAAAAGTATTATAATAAAAATAAAAAACAGGCCGATTTGTGCTCCCCAGAAAAAACGCCCACCCAGGAGAACGGCTTGCCTAAGGAAAGCAGCAACAACCTTGGGGGGGGAAAAGTAAAAGGCGAGGACGGTACAAAAAAGAATCAAGTAAATAATGCCCCAAATATTGAATCGGCTGTAAAGGGAGACGAAAAACAAATGGGAAATGAGAGCGGCATAAAGCAGTATAAAAATGGACAGGGAGCTGAAACGAGTAATGGAAAGGCCGATGAGGCAGGGCAGGACAAATTAGCAGAGGGGGAAAAAAAGACAAAGAAAAAAAGAAAAAAAGCCAAAAGGAAAAAGAAAAAGGGTAATAAAGTTGCGGGTGAAGGCGAAAATAAAGGCGATTGCAAAGGCCATGGCGAAACAGGTGACGAAAAGATTAGCGGTTTGACAAAAATTAAGGACACGCTCCCAGATGATCACAGCAATGAAAACGCCAGTACCACAACGGCAATTAGCACCAACACGGATTCCAACGCAAGGAGGAAGAGCGTTGTCAAGAGCACCATGGACTCGGCGAAGCTTTACAGCAATGACCTTACGACCGATCCAGTGGTAGACCAGAAAAAGAGCAAAAAAAAAAAAAAAAAAAATCTTCAAAAGGGAATCAAACTGTGCAGCATGATAAGGCACAAAATGGCGAGGACAATCTCACTTTGGCAAAAAATAAAAAGGAACACCTCTCTAAAAAGACAAACGTCAATCAAAACACCATGTACAAAATACCTAGCAAAAGTATGACCAAAGATCAAATTAACAATCTTGCAAATTTGATTTATAAAAATAGCATTGGTTATGGTCTCCCCCCGAAGAGTGTAGCTAATAACTTCAGTACGAATCCATGTGAAGGTTCCTGTAGTAATAACCACCCCCTCAATTTTATGAACATGCAGCAATTGTCGAAAAGCGCAAATTGTAAATATGGATTCAATGTGGACAATCAGGTATATTCCTCAAATTGCTTGTACGGGCAGGTCCCCTTCCGCAACACAAATGAGTGCTATGATTATTCGTATGCGGACGGGGTTACCGATGGCCTGGGGAATTTTTTCTACGGCAGCAACATATCGAGGAATGCCCTAATGGAGAGGGCCCTCTCGTTGCACAGCATGTACAATGTGGGAAGCGCGAGTGCATTGGATGATGTTGGCGGGTTTAGCGGTGCTGACGGTGTTGGCGGATTTAGCGGCGTTGAAGGTGTCGGCCATTTTAGCAGCTTCAGCGGAGCCACCTTTCGAAGACAACGCAAATTGCCACCGCGGGGAAACGACAGCTTGGCGCAAGGCGCGAATTACGAATTGGGCAAGAAGAAGGCGGATGTGCAAAATGGTTACATGACCAGATTCAATTCGACTGGCTCCATCGCGAAACATTTGCATTATGAACAGAATCAGGAGGATCTAACTTTCAACAAACGAGATAGTAACAAAAAGGGGCACTACCACCACAACGCGAGTAGAAGTGTGTCCAGGGGAGGGCAGATCCTCCAGGGGGGAGTCAGCAACACGGTGACTGTAGGGAAAATGGCTAATATGGGCAGCACCGCAGTGAAGGAGGAAAACTTTTCTAGTGCGTCCAACGTTGCTTACTTTACCAATGGGGCGAACCTAAACATCAGAGGGAAGTACCACCCCCAACAGCAAGGGAATATCCAACTGAGCAACGGTTCTGTGATTTCAGGCATGCGGAATGATGGTACCTACGGGTACATACAAAGGGGAAAGTATGACGCATCATATTACCCCCAACAAAATGCTGAGATGGTGCAGACCAGGAAATTGACAAAAGGGATGAATGCCCCGTTGCGAGCCTGTAAAATACAAAATAATGTTACTAACAGTAGAAGGTTTGCACCAAATGCATATGGGAGAGAAAATTACATCGGTGAAAAGAGTGCACAGGGAGGAGTAGCAACTAAAGACAAGGAAGAGACCCCCAAACTAACTGACTCAACTGTTGAAAAGGGAAGAGCTGCCAACTTTGAAGTCAATAAAGAGATTCACAAATTCATAGACTATTGTGTGAAAAATTATGGAGACAAATATATTGCGAATGTTTTGCATGAGTTTGCTCCGGAGGGCATTGACGAGAAGTACGATGAATTGAGGAACATGTTCAAAATTAACATAAGTGAGGAAAACTTGAGCACTTTGCAGATGCTGGAGGGGGAGGGGAATGGCCAGTTGCCTGCGTTTTTGGAGGGCGACACGGAGCAGCTGAAAAGCGAATCGCATAAAGAGGTGCCTCTGAAGGAGGTGCAGCTCAAACAAGAATCGACCAAAGGGGAGTCTCCTAAAGAGGAATCGCATAAAGATGTGCCGCTAAAGGAGGAACCGCTCAAAGAGGAATCGCCTGAAAAGGTGCCGCTTCAAGAGGAACCGCTCAAGGAGGGTGCAGACGCAGGGAACGTGTTCGAGGGGGACCCATCCGTGAGCGTGACGATCCCCCCGGGGCTGAGCCTCCCCGACATAAACCGAGCCCTGCTGCACGGTGCGTACTTAGACAACATCGCGGTGGTGAAAAAGTGCCTCGAGAAAAACGCAGACATAAATTATTTCGACAAAATTGGAAGAAGAGCTTTACATTATGCATGTGCAGGTGGATACTACGAGATATGTGAACTGCTTATAAACAATGGAGCCAAAGTGAACGTCTCAGATTACAAGCACTGGACTCCCCTACACATAGCCGTTACAAAAATGCATAAAGAAATAACGGAACTCCTCCTGAAGAACGACGCCAATATACACGCGATGTTACCCCATTCATTGTCCCCAAATAGGGGCAAAACTACGGCCAGCATGTGCATTCATTTCGCAGCCATTAAAGGGAGCAAAGACATAACAGAGCTATTGTTACATTATGGGGCCAAAATTAATGATACCGATTTATCCAATAGGACAGCCTTGCACTATGCCGCATATCGAAATAACTCAGAGTATTTGAAATTTTTAATTTATGAACAGAAGGCCAAGGTTAACATCTTTGATGTGCACAATAGGCTGCCTATCCACTCCGCCTGTTTGGGAGGCGTTTTAAAGAACGTGCAGCTGTTGGCAGAGAACAAGAGCTTCCTTCAAAAGAGAGACATTTACAATATGAGCCCAATGGACATTGCCACTATTAAAAAGTTTAAGAACATAAGGAAATTCCTGGCCAAGTACATTCATGAGAATTTTTCCCCGTGCGATGCGGAGGACGAGGCGGGGGACATCAAGAAGAAGAAGGAGGAGGAAAATGCCCAGGTGGAAGCGAAGAGCGGGGGGGAGGAAAACTTGAAAAATGCGGGCGACGTACCCCCCACCGTAGAAAAAGCAGAAAAAGAAGAAAAAGCAAACGAAGCTAACGAAGGGGGCGAAGGAGACGAACAGAAAATGGACCCCAAAGAATTCTACAACGACAACAAGATGATTAAAGACATTTTAACCACCACCATCAGCACCATCCTGAAGGAACGAAATAGGGATCAAATCAAAAGAGTAGTGGACTCCTTGGGTGTGTACATATCACTGAGCCTTTTAGAGAAAACGATTTTGATTCAGAATTATGGCGGCATAGATATGGTTAGTAAGGAGGGTAAGAGAACCAACGGGGGGGTCTTCTTTTACCTCATAAAGTACATGTACAAAAATGATATTATTTCAAAATTTAAGTATGATTACATTGTGGAGGAGGAGAAGGAGAAGAAAAAGACCTACAGGAAGTTAAAAAAAAAATTGCTACAGGAGGAGGAGAATGCGAAGGGGGGCAATGCCAAGGACGTCGAGGAGGGGCTCAGTGGGGAGGTTCCCCCCGACGGGAAGAATAAGAATAATAACAATAATAATAATAAGAAGAAAAACGATAAGTTTATGGGTCAATCGAAGGGCACTCGAAATCGCAGCGCAGTCTTTAATAATGCAAAGGGGGCTGTCATGGAGAATGTGCAGAATGGTAGTGCACCCCTGGTCGGTGCTAACGGCAACAAGGCATCAACAGGTTCCAACATGCCGAAAAATACACGTGCTAGTAAGAACGCCCTGAGTACGCATAACGGGGAAGTGAAGAATACTGGTAATGAGCAAGTGGTCTCATTGTCCGCCATGGCACCAGTGGGCACAGTCCACAAATACAATTTTAACTCATTAGCTACGAAAAACGCGAGGAATAACACACATTTTGGTAATGTGCAGAGTGACCATCTCCCCAAGGACCCTCACGTGAGCAACGCTGAAGAGGGAAAAAATAAAAAAAAAATGAAAAAAAAAAAAAATAATAATATGATTATTAATAATGACAGTAATAATAGGGCTCAAGTTGTTGGGGTGGACTTCCAAGCCGGTACCACAAACAACTGTGTGACAAAAGCGAATGTCGGTTCGTCCTTCATGAATTTAGTGCAAAATTCGTATGGCAGCATGCAAAGCATGGTCGAGGCGCAAGGCCAGAGGAAGAGCGCTTATCACCTGAACGGCGTTGCGTGCGAAGGGGGGAACTTTGATTGGGGACAAGGCGGTGGTTGCAACGGCTTTGACGGTTTCGGAAGCTTCGGCAGCTTTGGCCATTGGAACAGTGCTATGAGCCTGAACTCCCGCCCTCCGCGCAGGAACCAAGTCAACATGACCTTCCGGAACAACGGCAACCAGTATAGCAAGTCAATTCGGAGCTACCAGAATGAGTTCCCAATCCCGTATGTGAACGGGGTGCAAAAGAGTGTCTATGAGTACACGGGCTGCGCGGAGAACCCCGGGGCATACCGACATAACCAAAACGTGTACATGGTGAACAATGTGTGCAACCCACATGTGAATGGGAAACAGAAAATGCTTTCAAGCAACTTGAGCGGTGGACGCTTTCGGGGCTACCCCAAGATGTAGCCCCCGCGGCGCACGTGTGCAAACACGAGAATGCGCTTTCCGTTTGGGCATGTTTTAGTGAATTCGTGAAATGTGCCTTTTTATATAACTGCAAATAGAACTACAAACGCAACTCCAATTTTGATTTTTTTGATTTTTTTTTTTTTTTTATCGCCCCACGTTTTTAAGACAAACCCGTAAAACATACATAGCATGAGTGCTACATTTTTAACCACTTCAGCTCCCTTTTTTTTTTTTTTTTAAGGAAGGAAAACGCCTCGGCGTATATTAAAATGAATATGTATGTCGAACTGGTGTATGTAGGCGTTGTGGGGGTTAAGCATTGGGGGCGGAAAGCTTTTGAAGGGGTTTTTGGCCCTTCCGTTTTTTGAGGTTGTCCATTTTGTTGTAAAAGGAAAATGCCAAAAAAAAAGGCGCACATAAGCGATGAGCAGATAAAAATAACAGAAATATGCCAATAAGAGAATGGTCGAACGATCTAATGAACATGCGTGGGTCGGATAGGCACGTTCTGGGCCCCTCACCTGCGCATGCATGCAGTGTTGCATACACCTTTGTTGCCACAAAAAATAGTTTCCTTTTTCAAGAACAAAATCGCCTGAACCGTTCATAAAGAAAAGGTGTTTTTTTTTTTTTTTTTTTTTTTTTCTGAACAGTCATACGTTTTGTAAAAACATGCCAAGTTAAAAAAAGGCTAGCTGGAAGTGTGTGAGGAAGGGAGGATGTGAACTTTCCATTGTTCTTGTTAACGATCAGGAAGTGCGTAAATCTAAGAATACACAAAAAGGGGTTTAAAAAATGTATCTCCCATTCCGCACTAGGCCAACCGCCCAAAAAGGACTTAGCTGGTTGGACGAAGAAAAAAATTGGCAACTGCATAATAACAGC